AATACAGAAAACCTTGTTACAATAGATAATCTATTTAACTTAACCAAAACCAAATCAATTACAGAGGAGCCTATATCACCCACATATATATAATAACCTTTAGATGTAGATGAGCCTCTACCATTTAAAATAATATATCCTGCATCTTCACAAAAATCCAACACCAATTTTTCACGATTATTTATTAATGTATCTTTTGATAACCTCAACAGCCAATCCTGATCGATATCCTCATTACTATCATAAATCCATTCCTGTAGTTCTACTCCAATACGAGCATTAAAATCACCAATTAAAAAATCTATCTTATAACAATTAACCAACCTAACTACCTCTGTCCAAATAATATTTCATAATGCAGGTCTTATATACATAAAACAGAAAGAAATTACTATAGGCCCTATAGTCAATTCCACAACAATCCAATGCCTATCTTTTTCCAAAATATTTACTTTCCAAGAGTTAGACAATAACAACAACCAGCCACCAATACAGCGACCTCTATAAGCGTCTTGATAAAGTGCCTCAGAAAAAAAAATTTATCCATATTTTGAAAATCGGGAATAGCAGTCCTGCCATCCCACCACGTTTCCATTAAAAAATTATATCAAAAGTATACAAAAAAAAAAACAAAAAGAGATTAGCTTATTTACAATACCTTGACAATTCCATGAAAGTACCAACATACAGTACCTACTCCCAGTCAAGTTGACATTTGTTCTTCCATTTTCTTAGAAAATATATTANATTTTCTGGGCGATATAGTAAAACATTATATTAAAATTAATTAGCTATTTTATTCGTTATATTGTACAATAATTAAACAAATAACATTATACTAGTCACTAGTCTAGTTCAATGCAGTACGAATTTGGCGTCAGCCTTGGCCTTCGGCATCAGAATTTTGAAGTGAAGGGGGCGATACTACGTTGAAGGGGGCGACGATTCGTTAGAGGTTGAAAAACACTGCTTTAGAGAATATAAACGCTTAATAAAATTAATTTGTATATTATCATCTCTATCTCTCCAATCAAAGCCCCAATTTTCAGATCCATATAACACTACTGATTGAATAAATGACTCAAATAATTTTAATTAATTTTTCCAACGTACCAATGTACCGGATACACAAGTTTTAATAATCTTATCAATTCCAAAGTTCGCTTTACTGTGAATATATTTTAAATGTTTTAAAAAACGCCCATTAGACTGGAAAACTACACCCAGATACTTATACTCCTCAACTACATCCATTTTGCGATTTTGTATTAGAATGTTTTCCTCCATTTCGAAATACCATTATTTTAGATTTGTCAATGTTAACAGACAGTTTTAACTCCTGTAGTGTGTTTCCTAAAAAGTCAATCATTCTCTGTACAGTATACCTATAGGCGAATCTGCCATAACAACCAAATCATCTGCATATGTCAAGATTTTCACCTCCGTTCCCAAAAGATCAATGCCCACCAAAGTAGAGTCATTCAGTTTACTTACAAGTGGATACAAATATATATTGAACAGTATTGGGCTCAATACACAACCCTGTTTCACACCTTTTAACGTAAAAAATAGATCAGTCGTATCTTCCTTAGTAGACACGCACGCCTCTGTATTAGTATACAACTGAATCAAAAAATTTACAAATTTATAGCTCAACCCAATCTTCAGAAGTTGACTCCATAAAAGATCTCTATCCAACGAATCAAATGCCGCCGTCAAATCAACAAAGAAAGCGTAAAGTTTACCTCGTTTCTTCTTTAAAGACTTCTAAAGACTTATAAAACAAAAATATTATCTAATATCGAAAAACCAGACCGGAAACCAGGCTGGAAATCTGAAAATATTTCAAACTTATTCAACCAAGATATCAAACGCATACATAAAATTTTACAAAAGACTTTAGAAATTGTCGATAGTAACGAAATTGCTCTATAATTATTAGGTAAATCTCTAAGTCCCTTTTTAAATATAGGAATAATCCTACATACGCGCCAGTCTAAAGGAATCATCCCTGATTGATAAACATTATTAAACAGACCTACCATATATCCAATCAGATCTGGGAAATTCTTATATAGTTCCACCGGTATCCCATCAATACCTGGAGCAGTACCATTTTTCATAGTAGCTAGTATCTTTTTGACTTCCTGTTCTGTTATCTCCGTGTCCAACAACTCGTCCTGCCAATTCATACACCAATTATATACAGACATATCCGGTATATATTTACTAGAATGAAATTTCTTTGAAAAAAAAGCTATCCAATCAGGATCTGGAAGCTCCCTGTATTTACTCTTAACAAAGAAATTAATGAATCACCAGAACTGTTTACTATCACCAGACGCCAAATTCTTATTGACCTTCTGCAAAAAAAGCTTTTTCTTAGCTCTACATAAATTGCGAGTCACATTACGTTCTTTAACAAAATTCTTCACAGCAACACTATTTCCACTTCATCCTGTTCAACGCCTGATTTCTTCTTGCAATACTCAACTTACAATCTGTATCAAACCACACAAAATTAGAAAATCCAACTGGCCTTGTGGTAAGCGTCTGGAAAAGAAAAGTCTCTTAAACTTAACAAATAAATAATTATCCATTTAATGTAGTTACAAAACTATAAATACAATGATATCTATTACAGTCCTGTAACAACCATTTATATGCTTGGACCAAAAAACAGTCTTCACCAAAACACTTTTGTCTGACTGCTGTCAGTGCCTTACATTCAGTTATTACATGAAAAGTGTCAAAATTAGCAGTAGTATTACAAAATTCACAGTACTCCATACATGGACTTATCATTCTTCTGATTATAATATATTGCACATAATACTGCTTGTGTAATACAAAAAGGTCTTTCTATATTCAAATGGGTTATCGACCCTCATTCATTAAAAACATCCAAATACTGTTTATTATATTTATAATTAACTGCTCTATATTTAAACTCAGTTATATAATTATTTGCCAAACTCATTAAAATATCCAATAATGTTAAATGAAATTAAGATCTCTGATGAGATCTTAATTTCATTTAACATTATTGGATATTTTATTGGATTTAACATTATTGGATATTATATGTTTATTGGATTTAACATTATCGGATCATTTCGATAGCTGGACTTCTGCAACAAAGACACAATTCGATCTCCCTATGCTACTCTTTGAGAGATTAAAAATAATTTAGCGGACACTGTAAGTTTACTAACAGACTGTTTGCGTAACCATCTTAAAAATTATTTTTTATTATATTAAAATAAAGGGGGACTCTTTGAAACTCCAAATATATAATATACGATGGAATCCATCTCTTTAGAGAATATAAATGCTTAATAAAATTAATTTGTATATTATCATCTCTATATCTCCAATCAAAGCTCCAAATTTCAGATCCATATAACACTACTGATTGAATAAATGACTCAAAAAATTTTAATTTATCTTTCCAGCATACCAATTTACCAGATAACACAAGCCTTAATAATCCTACCAATTCCGAAAGTCACTTTACTGTGAATATACTTTAAATGTTTTAAAAAACTCCCATTAGACTGGAAAACTACACCCAGATACTAGAGAGATTGAGGCGCACGTTTCAAACGTGTAAACGTGTACGTGTGACGTTCAGCGCCGCTTTCCCGTAAGCCGAAAAGTTTGACGATGGTGTTTGAAATGTCGAGCGTGATTCCACCGACTATCCAAACGCCATTGTCAAACTTTTAGGCTTACGGAAAAGCGGCGCCGAACGTCACACGTACACGTTTACACGTTTAAAACGTGCGCCTCAACCTCTCTATTANTGCCTATCTTTTTCCAAAATATTTACTTTCCAAGAGTTAGACAATAACAACAACCAGCCACCAATACAGCGACCTCTATAAGCGTCTTGATAAAGTGCCTCAGAAAAAAAAATTTATCCATATTTTGAAAATCGGGAATAGCAGTCCTGCCATCCCACCACGTTTCCATTAAAAAATTATATCAAAAGTATACAAAAAAAAAACAAAAAGAGATTAGCTTATTTACAATACCTTGACAATTCCATGAAAGTACCGACATACAGTACCTACTCCCAGTCAAGTTGACATTTGTTCTTCCATTTTCTTAGAAAATATATTATACTGTATTTATAAATTTTATTATCAACTTTAACCGCATTTCTATTATTTAAATAAGTAATCGAAGCACAGAGATTAGAATTTACTAAAATTGTTAGCTAAGACAGATGCTTTGATAGTTTACCAACTACAAAAACAAGTAAGAGAGATCAATAATAGGCATTTTGTAGAAAATACGCACTTGGAACACAGAAACTTTGCTATCTTTTAAAGACCTTACAATATCTTACGTGATCGACTACCAGAAGCGGTGTTGCGCAATAATTTGTCTATCCCCGAGCAACCTGTTTTACATATCATTGAGAATGGGATCATTTATAATGCTTCCTGTAAAGATAGCTCGCCTAAACGTGATCAGATGGAACAATTATGCAAGGATTCCGGCTAAGATGTTCGACTACTGGAAGCAGTCGAAAATAGGAGCCCTACGCTATTTATTTTTAATTTTTCAACGAAAATATTATATATATTTATAACATACAAATATATTATAATCTGAAATACTGTATTTACTCCTTTCATTTTAAAATCACAATATAGTTATTTTCAGAAATACGCATAACACACGATGTGCCAAAATTTATCGCCGGATAATATCTATTTCTCTTTTTTCAATATTTTCAAATTTAAAATGTTTTCATATACCTTGTCGAATCCCACACTACAGATGCTTTCAACATAATAAAGTGGTCTAGACTTATCTTCGGATTCGTGAGTGACATTTTCAACATCTATAGTGCACAATAACTTTTGGATCATCCTATAATAACATTCTTCATATCGTTAAATAGTTCGTAAATTTTCTATAAATTTTTTAATTATTAAAATAATCAGTTTTGAAAGTTACACTAATAATATACGTTTACATTTTTGCAGTACTTTTTCCTGCGGTGGCCAGACTCGTTCGCTTGACTATATTTGACCCACAATCTGTCAATTTTTTTAAACTTGCTATCGATGACGTGATAAGCAAAAGAAAATTGTTAAAAAAGGTAATTTAAGTAAATTATCAGTAAACAGAATAATTTTTAGGTAACTCATATAACCTATATCTTTCGACAGGATGAAAGCCCTAGAAATTTTCTTCAGTTCTTATTAGAAGCAATAGAGAATCAAGAAAACAAAACTGAAAGTAAGCATTACGATAATTTTGTTTTAATCATTTATTTTCATCTTATTTATATATCAGTGATCCATTTGTTAATCTTAAAATTTTTTGGTATTATGGCAAAACATATAAGTTATAAACAGACTACAGTTAAGAATTTTATATATCGCAAGCAATATAGGTATAGTATATAAAAATCAGTCATTGTCTTTACACACAAGTCTTTAAAAGATTTCCAATTTTCCTCTTTATTTATATTTTGAGAAACAACCCGAAGTAAATTGTAACAAATCTTCATTATGAGATTAACTAAAATTGTGTAGTAAATACTATTCAATAATAGAAATACTTCATTATGAATCATTGAAAGTTTAGAGAAATTTCAACAAAAATATACGTTTCAATTATTGAATACAAATTTAAAGATGATAAAATATAGAAAAACAAATATCTTCTAATTTGCATTGTATAAATTTTCATCTTTACACCTTAGCGAGAAAGTGTCAAATTTTATCTTCCGATTCTTATACAAATCTCCACGTTTTGAAATCCCCTTAACACAAAAATCTCGAAAAACAAGAAAATATTTCGTGGATATGTATATAGATATGTATGTGTGCGAGTGCATATGTTACTGTGAAAGACCGAAATCAGAGAATGTCGATATTTTCCAGTGAATGTCGACACATACAAAATACGTTCGTGAAAGACCGAATATTTGGTTATATTATTACATATTTGAACAATCGCCGGTGTATGTCGACAAGCACAGATAACTCTTGGTGGAGGTCGAAACAACACCCAAGAAGCCGATGTCGACAGAAAGACGACAGTCTGTCGCCAAATTCTTCGCCGTTTCCTTCCGCTTAAATTGATGATACCGTACGAATACAAGTCTCTGATGTCGACCGTGGTCGTACACATTCCCGAAATGTCTTGGCGGTTGTTGTTGTAATAGAAGACTCCGACTTTTATAAATTAGCAAACAAAAATGATACTTTCAAGCAGCTTTATACCCGTAATTCGTAATTTGTAAAGAAAAGTTACTTTCCATAAATGAGATTTCTTCTCAAGAAATATCTCTGAGAGAAGCAGCTGCAGCTGATTCGAAAAGTGGAGGGCAAGGCTATACAAGTTGTCATTGCAAAAGGGTGTGTTCCACGAATAAATGCTGTTGTAAAACAAGGGACTCTTGTGCAATTCAAAGTGCCACAACAGTTTAAGTTGTTGCAGTAAATAAGATTGTATAATGATAATTACATAATTTATGTGTAAGTTTATTATTGTATTATTTGCTTTAATGATTTGGAATGTAGTGTTCGTTTTAGTGTTCAACGGTTTATTTACATGCGCTGTTACTTAAGCTTTCTGCTATTTTGACATTAAAAAGTTGCATTCTTGTCTTAACGTAATAAAAATATTTTTATTCAACATTCACCATTAGTGCATGCTGAATGTCGACATTTGTCGGTGTAAGTGAGAAATAATGATATTTAGCAAATATTTCGTACATACACGAAACGACTGCGTGAATGCTGACATTCACCGGAGAATGTTGACATTCGCCAGATATCGGTCATTCACAGTAACACATACGTGTTTGGAAATTCAATCATTTCGATTATACGAGTACAGAATACGTTTTCTCTTACGAATCCAGTTTTGAATTATGCGACAATTGATGAAGTAATTCATGAAAGACGTGATTTATAGAAATAAACTAATGATGTCCCGGGTACTGCAACAATGTAAGGAAGGAATGTATATACAGTCGACCCCCTATAACACTGTTGATAATTCCGTTTTATATGAATTCCATGTTGTACGAGTCACTTAGATTTTAGAAATACGTGTGCCGGGCTGTGAACGGCTCACGTATTTGTAAAATCTAAGTTACTCGTACAACATGAAATTCATATAAAACGGAATTATCAGCAGTGTTATAGGGGAGTCGACTGTATACAGTATATCTCCCTATAAGACTGGTTCCTATAATTACGATTCCTATAAGACGGCGAAAAAATTGTGGCGGTATTAGTACACAACGGTAAAAAAACTCCTATAATTACGTAAAACGTCATCGGGCAGCCGAACTACTTTCCCGCCGTCCAGCGCCACGCTACAGACAGTTTAGGCGGGTAAATTGAGTTTAGTTTCGTCTGTACATATAATTATATATAAATTAGGTACTGTATATATAATTATATATTAACTTAATTTATTGTAACTTTATTATAATTATGTATATATGCTCTCCGCCGTCTAGCGCTACGCTACGGAGAGTTTAGGCGAACTATCGTCTGTACAGTATGTAAATTAGCTACCGTAAGTCTAATACAGTACTGTAATTTTATACATTTCGTGTGAAAGAAACATTCCTTATTCAACGGCGATTAAAATCTATATATATAAAAATGAATGTATGGTTGTCTGTCTGTGTGTGTGTGTGTCATTCATGCATTACCACACCGTTTATCCGGTTGGCGTGAAACTTTGGGAAGTTGTTTAATATACTCCAGCGAAGGTTTGTNCGAGAAAACAAGCTTGAGCAACGGCGATGTCGAATGGTGCACACTCGGTAAGTAATCCTACAATTTTTTGTTTATAGCGTAGTTTATACGGATTATTTCCAAAAAAATATACGTATTTTGGAAATGTTGAGTCGGATTAGTCTAGAATCGATTAATTTTATGGAAGAAAACCTTTCAAATAGCCGTAGTCCGTAAACTTCACACGTGTCGGGCTGTGATTGGTTGTGTTTCCTACAAAATTGATTCATAAAGACGGAACGTATCTATCTTCTTATAGGGGGATCGACTGTATACTGTATGCTCTGGAGACCCCAGAGCGGAATACTGACATCTTTATTCCCTGGCCATCCAGCTTGCTATCGAAATGGAATAGATCACAATTTTATGTGCATGATTAAAACTTTTATTTATATTATACAGAATTTGGTTTGGATGATGTGGTGAGCCAATGCATTACGTTTTTCGTTGCTGGATACTTTGGTCCATCATTCACTATTTCGTATTCTGCTCATGAATTAGCAGTCAATCCAGATATACAAGAAAAACTTATTACCGAAGTTGATGAAACTATTAAACAATCGGTAAGTTTATTTATGTTATTAAACATTATACAAGACTTTACAGATCGGTAAAACACTGGAGAAAATCAAAACATACGTAATTAACAAACTTTGCCAGAGTTTTACAATGCATATAACTGTACACATGTAAGCCAAAACAATGTCAACGACTTAGATATTTTATTTCAAATTAAGCACATACTGTATACTAGGGATTGTATACCGGTTTACCGATTTACCGGTTAATCGATAAATTGACAAAAAAAACATTCTGCAAACTTACCGGTAAATTTTTGAAATTTACCGGTAATTCGGTAAATAAAAAATCCATACTAGAAATTTTATGTAGAAAATATTGTGTTTATAGATATTTAAAAGGGCTAAAGGGACATTGAAAATAAAAAAAGCAGGTAAGTATAAGCAACAAAATACCTAATTATTAATTTTATGTGAGATATTTTTTGTTTAATTTTAATTTAAACTTTCTTGGGTTTGAGAGAAATTGTACAGAAAGCTCTAGTTAGCATATGTGATTTGTGCTCTGCAGTTTTTTGAGATTTTTAAAGTTTTAAAATCTTTACAATCAACGTTTTTCTTAAAGAGTAAGTAAATGTTTACTTTTTTGATATTTAACAATAATAATACTTAAATATTTCGCGTATTTTTTAAATTAATAGCAATTTTGAATACACCACATTACCACAGGACATTAATGCAATACTATTGTAAAATAACATTAAAATTTGTACCTTAAATAAATTTTTTACTTCTAACAACTGTTTAAAATAATTAAATACAGATATTTGTTACAAGTTTCTAACATTATGCTTTAAGATTGCGCAAAATATGTTTTACTCTAACCCTATTTTCGTGGGGAATCCCCATTACTCTCACGAAAAGAACTTTCTTTAATTTTAGATTGTAGAACCAGGTGGATAATAACTTACTAAACATGCCGGAAAGATTTTTATTACTTAAAGATGCTGTCCGAAAAAGTCTAGAAACCTAACCTAACCTAATCTGGATTATTTTGTACAAAAATTAGATCAAAATTAGAAGATAAGACTTTAAATAATTTAAGTTTCTTGAAAAGTTATTTTTTAAAAAATGGTAATCAATAAAATGGTATTAGGTACTATATATCATTTCTGTTTTATTTTTATTTTTCTGTATTATTTTATTTCTGTTTCTAAAAGTTATTATTATAGTTTGTTTAGAATAACACTTTAATTTTTATATTTTTTATATTCTATATCTTTGAAATAAAAAATATGAAATGGAAATCAAAATTAGTTATATTTTTTATCACCTTAATTTTATTTTTCAGGAAAAAATTTACCGGTAATTTACCGGTAAACCAATATTTTAATTTTCATTTACCGATTTACTGGTAAATGAAGAAGTCAGTAAATTTACAATCCCTACTGTATACCAGTGGTCCTTGCTAAATCCAGATTTTCCTATGTCAATTTCTAACAAGTAAAATTTGAGAAATAACGAAATAGCCAATATTTTTTTAAATTAAAGAGTTGGGACGTTAAGTAAAAAATAAATAAAAATAAAACACATATTTAAGATAGTAAAAATATATATAATTAATGAGATGGATGATCCTCTTGATTACTGCACATTTTCTCAAAACTTGGAATCAAACTGGACACGGTCATCCTCATTTCCTCCCCATTGATTTTCGTGCAATGCTTACTTTTTATCACAATGACAAACTCAACTTCGCACAAATAAGAACTCGCAAATGGAATTAAGATTCTCTGAGCTTTACCACTCAGAAGGGATATTCATCTTTTATTGATTTCCAAAATTTAGTTAATTTCATGCTACTAAATTCTGTTTTCAACGTATTGTCGGGAAGACAAGTAAATAAGATTCTCTTCTTATGCAGCAATAAATTCAGTTGGAGGATTGGCATTAAACTGATCTTGAAGCCATTCTAATTTATCATTATTATCATTTAAAAAATTTTTCTCAAACCAGATGATAAGCTATGATAAATGTTTTTAAAAACAAATTTAATACCTCGAGAGAAATCAACTCTATTGGAGGTCAAAAACTGTTGCAACAAAGGGAAACATTCTTTTCCTATGTTTTCATTTATTTTTATTTTCCGTAGTTTTAACTTTTTTTATGAAAGCTGAAATTTTCTCAATCGATTTTAAAAGGTGCATGTTGCTTCCGTGCAGGGAGAGTTTCAGAGCATTCAGCTTTTCAAAAATATCACATAAGTATGTTAGTTTTACTAAAAACTATTCATTCACAAAGTTTTCGGCATATTTGTGGTCTTCTTTTTTAAGAAAAATATAATTTTCCTGTCGCAGTACAAACGTACGAGACAAAACATTTCTTCGAGACGGCCGTCGCTCTCTCGTAGTAATGTTTTGTGCTTTCTCAAAGTGCTGTAGTATAACAAAGACGTGTACTCGTATTCCATTCCTCACATAGTTTTTTGAGAAATCTTGCCTTCAACGGCCGAGTTTTATAAAGTTTACTACATTTACTACATATTCTAAGACCTGGTTCAATGTAGGACTGAGATATTTTGATGCGAGTACTTTCCTGTAAATAACGCAATGGATCTACTGTGCATCAGGGTCTTTGCTTCAAAAAGGTGCTTGCAATCCTCCATAACACTCGAACATAGAATGAGCACAATCAGCACAAAGGTGAATGCATTTGGCCCACTCCAAATTATTTTCGGATATAAAAGTATCAAGGATCTCGAACAAGTCGTAAGCTTTAGCATCTGAAGTGATACTTTTACAAAAGAAAAAGTCTTCTACAATGTTATTACTATCTATAAACTTGTGAGAATACGGACGAGGGACCAGGCCCTCTAATCGTCAGATCTGTTAGACCTGCTCACCTTGTCACCGGATGGCTTAAAATTTTAACAGAACCCGAGTGGTAAGATTCTGTGTGGGTTTGTGCATAAAGAACGAATACCAGACGAGGAGGACATTAAATATAAAATAACCAATTTAATTATTACTAACAATACTACAATATACTGGATACAAAGGAATAATACCATATAATAACAGTATGGAATACCTATGTGAGGATAGTTCCTATCTCTATGTTATTTAGAATAAGCCGAGAGAGAGAGTTTTACATTAGATTTACCTCGTTGTTCATGTTGGGATCTTATACCTTATAGATTCTCTTTCTGCAGAATGGAGTTGGGAGGACAGGTTGAACCAGGGATGAGGAGCACCTTGCTATAGCACCAATTTGAACGAACTCCCTGAGAGTCCGCTAATCAGCCCTTTTATCCCCAATTATTTCATAATATTTTCTTAGAAATTGGTTATGACATTTGAGCAGGTGGTGTGCAAAATTCTACGATATGAGGCGTGGAGGAAGGAAGCAAAACATCCTCAGTTCTTGGGAAAGCGCTACGTGACAGAGCAGATTCACATGATGTAAAAATTTATGTCCTTATTAGGTTATGTTTTAGTAATTATTCCAAAGTTTATCATTCTTTTTATATAGTTGAGTGAAATTAAAGCATAGTATTTATTACATTAAAATTTTATATTAATTATCTCATGAACACTGTCAGATTGTCACAAACTGTATATAGCAAATCAAGTGAGCGTCTTTATTATCGTCTATGATTACGTCATGTTGCACCCTAAATTCCTTCCCTTTTATGTTTTGAATTAATTGAACATTGAAGGTCCTTTGCTATGTGCTGCATTCTGCCATTGATGGCGTTATTGGACAAAGGCAAAAACTTTTGAAAGCAGCTTCCCAGCAGACTCACCAATCATAATATTCGCCATATCTACAGCAGCTGGTAGAATCGGTTTTTCTGCTACAGTATGAGGCTTTTTACATATTGTGATTCCATGTGCCAGTTTTATTACTAAACTAGCAGACCCCCGCCACGCGTTGTTGTGGCTCAAAATGTATCTATTATAAATGCATAACACTTCCCCTGTGGGGGGAAATTTTACGAAAAATTTCTTCTTAGTGTACATTCTGTTGACGTACCCTATTAAAACGCAATCAAAAACGCAAAAACCCGCATCTAAAATAATATAATAGAAGTCAAGTTCTTCACGGTAAGCATTAATTCTGTCCCTCTCCCCGTGGGGGAATATCGAAAAATTCTTTCTTAGTGTACATTCTGTTGACGTACCCTATTAAAACGCAATCAAAAACGCAAAAAACCGCATCTTAAATAGTATAAATAGAACCAGAGTTCTTTACTGTAAGCCTTAATCCTGTCCATCTCCCCCCAGTGCGGGAAATTTCGACATGTATATTATATAAAAACACGTGCGTATTCGAATGCAGCGTTGTGTCAAAATTTCAAAGGAATCGGTAGGNCCGAACCACCCCAGTCCCCAATTGATTCGGATAAACGACACTCTACTGTATTTACATTTTGTATAAAATTTTATTAACTCCATAACATCCCACTTTATAACAGAGCCTTCCTAAGAAAAGCTCTGTTATAAAGTGGGATGAAGCAAATATTATTAAAAAGATACATTCTCTAACCATCGCTATGAATAGGGGAAAAAATAGATATATATAAGAGCAAGATCAAAGAGCAATGCCTAAACGCAAGAGATGCAAATGCATTACCTTCAGCTTGAAAATACATCATTGTAAAAAGATTAGGACATAAAAAACCCCTAAATTATGTGATCCCAAAAATCATATTTGGCTTTTGTGTTATATTTTATATTTTTCCTAATTTCATTTTTATTTGTATTTTGTTAACCTTATATATTTCATAAGTTTATTTTTATTTATTATTAACCTTATATTTTTCATAATTTATTTATTTAATTCGTTTAACTTTAAATTTGTATTTAGAAAACTTCAAAAGTTAAAATTTAAATGGAAAATTTGTGGAAAATTTTCTAAAAATGGACTTAAAAACCTGATGACAACCTATGAAAGTAGTTAATAAAAAAATTCTCTCAGCAAATGCAGAGGTGTTTTAGTAAGTTTGTAATTTACCTCTGCTTAGTACTTCTAGATGATATAGATGAAAAACTGAATTTTGTACCATATTTTTGCAGAATGACCAGCATGCTGCATAAACCAGGATTGATCAGCATGTCAGAAACCCCAGAGTTGCCAGCATGCCAGTTAAACTGAGAGTGAAAAGTAAAAAGTAAAGAGAACATTCTTCCGAATATAATGTTATAA